AGAAAGAAAGAAAGAAAGAAAGAAAGAAAGAAAGAAAGAAAGAAAGAGAATTGGCTCTCTCGACTGCAATGCATCGAGGAGAGCCATGAGCTTCAGAGAAAGGTAGTAACCTCCCTTGCTGGAGGTATAGATCTGATACTAGTAGTGTTTAACACAAAGAATGGCAAAGAAAATAAAATGTTTAATAAATCTGAAACCCTAAACACTGAAGGGGAAAATCTAAGTTTCATGTTCTATGTCTTGAATCCTATTTAGATATTGTGAATTGTGTTCCTGAGATGTAGCATAATGTTTATCCACCACTGCTATGTTCTATTTTCATAGTCTTCCTGGTCCTCCTGGTCCTGAAAACAGATATCTGAAATTGGGAAGGTTTTATGTAGAAAGTAGAATCTATCACCCCTTACAAGTTTAACAGATTGGCATCAAGAGATACCACTAATGATTCATCATGTTGAATGAGATCTTAACCAAGTACTGTACTTAAAATGAGCAATTTATTAAACTTCTAAACAGTTTTTTAAAGCACACACACACACACAATCTAGTTCAAGCCTATGGATTAGCTCTTAGCACTCAACAGATTTATCATTTATAGCATAATCTTTGCAAAACAAAAAATACATACCTCACCCTCCTAGAAAAATCTAAACTATCCTTTGGTCCGCTATAAGATGATTTGTATCTGTTCTGTCTGTTATAGCCTTTTGTTATAGATTTTTGGGAACCTAATAATGTAATGTTGTGTCAGAAAACATAATGGTGATTTGTCATACTGGGTATGTAACATGACAAGGTGACTGTACTTAGGTATGATGGAAGAAATCTTTAGATGATTAAAATATTCCCTATCAAGAACTGTCAAGCAAACATTCATAAAACCATTTCTTCCTAATGGATTTATCTTTGAAGGAAAATAAAAGATTCATGTCAGGGAATTTTACTGATGAGTGATTAGAATCATTGCCAAATTAAATGATCATCTCTAACTAATTGGATTAGTTTAAATTGAATAATGAAATTTCAAGCTGTACTTAGTGGAACGTGCCTTAAATCCAATTATTAGTCTGTCAAGTGATGCTAAACAATGGAAGTGATTCATTCTATAACCTTTTAATAGATGCTGGGGGTACAGGAAGAGAGCTAGCTAGATTAGAACATGAGACAAAAAGATGAATTTGCTATATTGAAGACAAAAACTAATATGCATATTAATTCTAATGGAAGCGGTTTGAACATAAATATCTTATCCCAAATTAAAGATGCTTCCAATTTCTTCTTGGAGTTTGGCACTCCAATGAGTAATTTAAATAATAAGTTAATTTTTCTATATTATTGAGTGTATTAGTAAAATCTCCAATCAGCCAAATTATTGTGACCATGGTAAACATGAATGCCCAGTCATAGGAAGACATGTAAATGACCACAAAAAAAGGCGCCAGTCTTTGAAGTATCATGTTAGCAATGGATAATCCTGAATAGGATTTATACCTCACACCACATCTTCTGGGGTTCCTCTCTGTATAAATGAGGCCTAACATCCTCCCCTCAATGTGACTGTGGGGCCTCATGTCAAACTGTAGATCACATTGTGACTGGCTGTAAACTGAGGGCATATTCTGGTCCAGTATCTGTTTTTGTTTTTTGTTTTAAATATAATGATGCTGCACTTCAATGGTTAGATGGCCTAAACATTGATATTTGAACCTAGATCTTTTTAACATTTATATTTTATTGGGTTCTACTAATCTAGCTAAAATGTTAATATATATTGCTAGTCCATGTATGATATACCATAGACTAAATAAATAAATAACTGTGACCATCACTACTTTAGGCATCACCAATGTTAGAAGTTATGCACTGTCTCAAGGACCAACAATTAATACATTTTGTGTACCGTTAATCCACAGCTTTTTGGTGTCTGTTGCAAAAGAAAAGTTGGCAGCCACTCAGATAAAAATTGTCTAGAATTATCTTATTTCAACACTGGGGTAAGTAAGTATATGGTCTGTATAATTGCACATCTAAAGAGAAGATGGGGTTACAAGCTGCAGGGTTCTGCCTAATGATAGACAGGATAACACATTACTACTAATCTCTGACATTTGTGAAGAATACATTGAAAGTAGATCTAAAGTTGTAAAAGGACAACCTCAGAACTCTTTAGTTTCTTCCTGAAGGAGGCAGAAAAATGAAACTTGGGAGGTTAAATTCCTCATAAAAAACTTAATTAAAAATATGGAAATTGCATGAAAGAAACTAATAAGTTAATACAAGCAAAAATGACCTAACATGGAAATAGTTTCTACTAATTAAAAATAGATTTTGTAATTTAAAAAAGTAAAGTAATGCCTTGAATAAATCTAGATTTTCATCTAGGTCCATCACCTACCAAGAGTGCCATTTCAAAAGGAACAGCTTCACACCAATGAAACATTCCTGTAGTATCCAATGAGCAACAACTAGCTATTTCTTTTTCTTCTTCTTCTCCTTCTTCTGAACGTCTAGGTGGACAAAATGACAAATTGTCATAGTATGACTAACATAGTGCCATCTATGATCTAAGTTCTTCAAAGTTTCTTTACCAAAACAGGCTTACAGCATACAACTGGATACAAAGAAAAAAAGCAGACGTAGGAGGACAGGTAGACAAAAGTGAGAAGGACATAGTCAGAAGATACAAATAGGAAAGTAAGATACTTTATTCACATGTATGAATCAACTGATATTTTAATCAAGACAATTCTGTCTTTATCCAGTATACCTTAATTTAAGGATATCTCTACACTTGAATAGAAAGTACCAAGATCGCATTTTAAAAGGATAAAATACTGAACAAGGATTAATGTATTTTATCCAGTTGGAAATGGTAAATTATTTGACATTGGTAATATGTTCTTTGGAAAACAAAACAAAAATCCCAACTGATAGAAACTTATGACAATCTTGGGTTCATGCTAAGATGTTTCTTTCTTTTTGACATGATGTCCTTTCTACCCTTTCTTTATTGATTTCTGGGCACTAGACAATGATATGTGTCAGAGAATATAGCATTCATTTTTTTTGTATTGTCCATATGACTTTGAGAAGGTGATTGTAATATGACTGAGAATATCATTGATATGACTGAGAATATCATTGACAATGAGACTATATAGTCAAAAGTTATCAAGCAAGTACAATCGTAAAAGCCAAGAAACAAAATAAGTCCTTAATTCCACCTAATGGGATGCTTAGCAGAATTCTTTTACTTCCTTTTTCTTCCATCAAACATCATTTCTGGTGCGTGCATGAATATCTACAAAATACCTTATTGCCAGAATTATTTTCAAGGATTCATAAATACTTGTGCATCACAAAATCAACACAAGTTACACCTGCCACAGATGGCTGATATTTAAGTAAAACCAGACAGGAGTGACAGCTCCCTTCTCACCAAATAATACCACAGCCTTTAGTAAGTAAGTGTCAAAAAGTATGTCAGGATTCAAGTTTAAGCAGCAGGAAGGAAAAGAGTCTAGGGCCATTTTCCTTCCATCCAGCACAGGCTTCTTTAAAAGAGAAGATCTGGTATTAGTAGATAATATGGTGAAAGAAATTAGTATGTTTATCTCAGTGTGCTTATGCCAAGAATAGACATTTTTGTCCATTAGTCATATGGCACCTCCCCAGCATTTGCAACCTCCTCCTTGCTGCCCAGATGATGGATTGGTCAGCTGTTGATTAAATTGTGTTTTGGCACAAGAGAAGCTATCTTGTTGCAAGCTCTTTTTAAGTCAGCCCAGCTCAGCAAATCAATCAGTGCACACTTTTCCATCATCATAAAACCACGATCTATATACACAAGCTGTCACAGACAATATCACCCTTCACTCAAATGTTATAGGAAGCATCTATACCCTGGAGGGAACACCTGTCAGAGCCCTGGGCAAAGAAATGAAAAGGCAAGGCAATGCTTGAAATGCACTTCATCATAAAGGCATCTTTCTTCAGATATCATTGTGAAAGTGAAAGGGGGACAGGATAGAGAGAGCGCTCATTTATCTCTAGGTGCTTTAACTACTCTTCCCATCTGCCATATTTTCCACAAGCAATATGATCTTGTCTAGAATCTACTGCCCTAGGAAGCTCAATGAGCAATTTTAATGAATACAACTTCTGTAGTAGGAGGGCTCAGGGAACATGAAATGAGAAGGAGAGAAAAACAGGCACATCAAGATAAGGACCCAGTCTTCCAAGGAAGTTTCCCGTCTGGCCACAATTTTGTTCAAGCCTATTGAGCAAACCAAACATTAAGACCCACTGCAAAATCTAGCTTTCAGGTTTGAAATTTAGGAAAAGATCTTCTACCAATAATGGCTTCTTTTCAAGATGCCAGAATGATGTCATATTTTTTCTTTATCATATCATCAGTTTCCTTTCTCTTTTCCCAACACAGTCCCCATGATTGCCTAAAAGGAAAAGGCAAGTTAAGTGGATGATTCTGTTCCCTTTTTATTATTACTTCAAAATAAGTAGCAACAGCTAAAGTTTTCTAGAATATGTCACAGGGCTGCTTTGTTACAGTTAATGTACCTTGGACTAAGAATGGATAGAATAGAATAGAATAGAATAGAATAGAATAGAATAGAATAGAATAGAATAGAATAGAATAGAATAGAATTCTTTATTGGCCAAGTGTGTTTGGAAACACAAGGAATTTGTCTTGGTGCAAATACTCTTAGTATACATAAAAGAAAAGATATATTCATCAAAAATCAAGAATCATAAGGTACAACACTTAATGATAGTCATAGAGTACAGTAAGCAAACAAATTATACTAGGAAACAGTCAATATAGATCGTAAGGATACAAGCAACAAAGTTACATTCATACAATCACAAGTGGGAAGGGATGGGTGATAAAGAGTGATGAGAAGATTAACAGTAATATTAATGCAGACTTTGTAATAGTTGACCAGTGTTGATGGAATTATTTGTTTAGCAGAGTGATGGCTTTAGGGAAAAAACTGTTCTTGTATCTAGTTGTTCTGGTGTGCAGTGCTCTATAGCATCGTTTTGAGGGGTTGAAACAGTTTAGATTAGATTAGATTCAACTTTACTGTCATACAGGCAATGAAATGTAATTAGCATCCAACCAGAAGTGCAAAACAACAGTAAAATATAAAAATATGTATACGAATATGCAAGGCATCCAATGGAAAACACAACAAAATGTATGTACACAAGCACACAAAGATAAGTGTGACTGCACATATATGAACATATACAACTGTACAAAGTGTTTATGGACACATTGAATATAAATACAAATGCACAGAGAATTATACAAAATACATCATATATTATCAGCATATGTGTGGTGACAAGCGAACTGAGGAATTCAGCAAGGAAATCGCTGTCTGGTAAAAGCTGTTCCCTAGCCTGCTGGTCTTAGACTGCAGGCACCTGAACCTCCTCCCAGATGGAAGAAGAGTAAACAGTTTGTGGGCTGGATGGAAGAGGTCTTTAATGATGCTGTGGGCTTTACGCAGACATCGTTTCCTCTGAATGTCCACAATGGCAGGAAGTGGAATCCCTATAATGTGCTGGGTGGTTTTCACCACCCTCTGTAATGTCTTTTTTTCTTTTATAGTGCAATTTCCATACCAAACTGAGATATAGCTAGTTAAGATGCTCTCGAATGTGCAGCAGTAGAAATTAGTCAGAATAGCTGAGGAGAGGTGATTCTTCCTCAGTAATCTCAGGAAGAAGAGGCGCTGGTGAGCTTTCTTAATCAGACTAGTGGTGTTGATCAGCCAGGACAAGTCCTCAGAGAGATGGATCCCCAGGAACTTGAAGCTGGTAACACGTTCTACCATTCTCCCGTTGATGTATATAGGAGAGTGTGTGTGACCATTCTTTTTCCTGAAGTCCACAATGAGCTCTTTGGTCTTGTTAGTATTAAGTAATAAGTTATTGTCAGCGCACCATGTAGCTAGGCACTCCACCTCCTCCCTGTACTCTGAATCATCATCATCATCGTTGTTGAGTCTGATCACCATAGTATTGCCTGCGAACTTGATAATGGTCTTAGAGCCATACACAGGCCTGCAGTCATAGGTGAAGAGAGAGAACAGGAAGGGGCTCAGCACACAGCCTTGGGTATGCCAGTACTCAGTGTGATAGTAGATGAAGTGGAGTTATTCAACTTGACATGTTGTGGTCTGTTTGTCAAAAAGTCCAGTATCCAATTACAAAGAGTAGTGTTAATACCAAGGTCACCAAGTTTAGTGATCAACCTGGAGGGAATTACTCTATTAAATGCTGAACTGAAGCCAATAAACAGCATTCTAGCATAGGTATTCTTATTGTCCAGATGTGTTAAAGTGGTGTGTAATGCTATGGAAACAGCATCCTTGGTACTCGCGTTCTTGCTGTAGGCAAATTGGTAAGGGTCCAGTGTAGTTGGGAGGCAAGTTTTGAGACGTGCCAGGACAGCCGGGATGTGAGGGGTCTGTAAATATTTTCACAGCCCTCTTTTTGATTCGTGCAGTATACAGATCCTCGATTGAAGGCAGGTTGGTAGTAATTGTTTTTTAAGCTCATTACAAATCAATATTTTGCTAGGCTGACTTTACCTGTTTTCTAGGGTTTAAGCTGAGGATGGATGACCAGCTATTCAAACTGACTGGATGAACATTTTTGGATATATTTATTGAGAGTGAAAGTCAGATTCTATTTCAAAAACTCAGGGGAAGAATGCAAGGACAAAATCTCATACAAAATTATGTTTTAAAAAAAACCTTTATCAAATGTTGCTCTGTCCCCATCCTACTATGTCTGTTAGAATTTTTATAGCAAGGATGACTAACCTTTTGCAATTGAGAATTTCTATTTGCCCCACTTTCAAGCAAATTCTTACTATTGAGGTAGAAAATGGCACATGTCCCTTTCCAACAAGAAGGGATATCACCCTGAATTTCAGCTTTCTGAAGGTCTCTTCAATAGCTGGGAGGATCTTGAAGTATTTTGAGGAGGGATTTCTGTGGGGTAGGTTAAAACTCTCCTGTATGGTCTCAGGATTGCTGAGGAGAGTGATCTAAAGCTGTATGTGGTAAGCAAAGTGAGAGCTCTTGAATCTACCCTTGTCAGGAGCAAGGAACTAAACAAGTTCATGAACAGACCAAAGCAGTTTCTTTATTGTTGGTCACCTATATTGCAAAAATCTTACCAGCCTGGCTGCATTCCCTTGTAAACTAGCAGATAAGGTTTTGCTAGTATGGTCTATAATATTTCCTCCCTTGAAGTGACTCCATAATAGCATGACTCTTAACTCCCCTCTGTCGTTTAATTGGTTATCGCACTATATCCTTATAGAAAATCATTGCATGCACAATACTCACTTTTAATGTCATTCTCCCCCCCCATATACAAGATTCCTAATAATTTATCTATGCAAATGCACCAGAAGGATTAAACTGAACAAAATGACAGTACGAAGGTCAACCCTGAAGCTGACCTGATTGAAGCCATCTTGACCACTTCAGTATTGCCACACTGAAGCTGAGGGATGGGGGGGGGGTTGAGAAAGTTGGGATTCTCCAGCCAAACCAAAATATTTTCTCTTGGGAACCAAGAATCTCACACCTGGTTGGAAAAAGGCAGAGTGATGTCACCTGGCTGCCAGACTGTACCATGATTGAAATTGTGACTGATTGTTTTGAGGAAATGAAAAACTTTTACCTTTAATTAGGTGAAAAACAATGGGAGTCTTCAGTGTCAGTTTTCACCAGATCTGTGCCAATATGATATTTCCAATAAAACTATTATTTGAGGAACTCACTTGCCTCAGACTTTTGCTTGCTTTTGGACTGTTACTTGAAACTCTGACAACTAAGGACCTTCAGAGCCAAAGAGCCATTTCACCCTACAGTAACAAGGCTTGATATGGAATGCACAAATACTTACAAATGTGTATAACATTTCCATGTCACTTTAATGCTATGTTTATGGGAAGCTGTCATCTCTTCCTCTATTTCCACTTCATTACCCTGAATTAATACCACTCAATTTATAATAAAGAAGGGTTTTGCTTGCATCAATTGAAATACTACAAATTAAGATGCATGCAGAGCCTCAGTTTGTATAGTTCTTTAAAAAAGTTTTATAGTATTTCAACTGCTATCAGTGAAAAGCCCTTGCAGACAGGTAAATCCAATAATCAAACAAGCAGCAATATTTCAGCAATAGTTAATCTATCAAATAAACTTAAGCATCAAGAGTCTTCTGTCAATGTCCTCTCCTTAACAATGCACTCTTCTCAATGGCTTGCCTTCAAAAGTTGTGGGTGCTCCATCATTGAAGTCTTTTAAGAAGAGATTGGATAGCCCCTTGTTTGAAATGGTGTAGGATCTCAAGCAGGAAGTTAGACTAGATGATCTCAAAGGATCCTTCCACCTCTGTAATTCTGATATACTGGTCTGCTATTCCCTGGGCTACCCTCATTTCAACCATATCCCAAATAAAGAAACTTTTCTCATTGGACTTCTTCAAACCAGGAAGTAAGAGATCTTTGAAGGTGAAGCAGAGATGGATAAAAGAGAAGAAATAAAATGGCATTCACCTCATACAATGTGTGGTGGCTCAGAGGCTAAGATACTGGGCTTGTCAGCTGGAAAGCCAGCAGCCCAGGTTCAAGACCTGAGTGCAACATGAATGGGGTGAGCTCCCTGTCCTCACCTCTGCTGCCAACCTAGCAGTTTGAAAGCATGCAAATGCAAGTAGATAAACAGTAGGAAGGCAACAGTACTCGGTAACATTGTTCTGGCCACATGACTGAAAATGTCTTTGGACAGTACTGTCTCAATGGTCTTGAAATGGAGATGAACAATGCCCTCTATAGTCAGCAATGAGTAAATTAGGGAGACAATTCTGCAGGAACTCCTTTACCTTTACTTTACCTAATACCACTTTGAGTTGGTTTAATAATAGACTAAACCCAGAAACCTAGTCTAAAAATGGTAAGCCAGGGTATTTTATAGCACTTTAAAAATGAGGAAAACAAACAGATGCCTCTTTTAAAAGAGAAAGTAAGTTTTGAAGGAGTGGAAAAAAAAACATGCAGTACAATAATGTGAAAAATGAAGCCAGAATATAATTGATTATTTCATATTTTAGATGGCAGACCAAAACTTTTGCATTTTAAATACCACATCCTAAAAAGGGGGATCCAAACAAATTATAAGATTATTGTAAGATTATTCTAACCTTTATTGCTCAGAGAAAAGGATATGTTTAGGATACCTGTAATCCCAAGCATGTCAAGTGTCGTGGAAATCAGGAGATTCAGGCAATTGAAATTAGTATAAAGATTTATTGCTAGCTTAAGCTCTCAACAAGAATCTGACCCTAATAACTGTCAAGGGAAATAAGCAAGAATAAGAAAGCATTCAAGGTGGGCTGGACTTAGATCTCTTGTTGGAGCACAGGGACTCATCACTTACGATGCATTTGACCACTTCCTCAGACTCAATTTGATTATTTCCTACATAGCCATTATGAAGTGTAGATCATCTCATCATTGCCAACTTTTTGATCAAGACTTGATTGGACTAAAATTGAACAAGAAATGAAATGCTACAGTTTCCCATCTTCTGGTGTCACATTTTACAGTGACTTCAACATGCAGCCCCAAAAAAGTCAATTATAGATTTCTGATCTGGAACTGTTTTTAAATATTGTAGATCAGCCCTTGCAGCAGCCAAAAACCAATCAAATAGATTTGACCCCAATTCCTGGAATGAACACTCTAAGCATACTAACTTTCTAATTTATTTTTATTTTTTATTTATTTATTTGATTTGTCAATTGTTTACAAGATAATAAGTATAAGTGTATACATAGTTATGAATACATGAAATGGGTACATATAAGAAAAGTAAAAGAAAAATAAAAGAAACAATAGGACAGGGATGGTAGGCACATTGGTGCACTTATGCACACCCCCTAGAGACCTCTTAGGAAAGGGGTGAAGTCAATAGTAGACAGTCTAAGGTTAAAGTTTTTGGGGTTTGGGGAAGAAACTACAGAGTCGGGTAGAGTATTCCAGACATTGACCACTCTGTTGCTGAAGTCGTATTTCCTGCAATCAAGTTTGGTGCGGTTAACCTTGAGTTTGTATCTATTGTGTGCTCTTGTGTTGTTATGGTTGAAGCTGAAGTATTCATTGACAGGTAGGACATTGCAATGTATGATTTTATATACCATACTTAAATCAGATCGAAGATGGCGTAATTCAAGGTTTTCTAGTTCTAGAATTTCAAGTCTGGTGGCATAAGGTATTCTACAACGAGTAGAGGTGGGGAGAACTCTTCTTGCGAAATATTTCTGGACTTTCTCAATTGTGCTAATATCAGATACATAATGTGGGTTCCAGACTGATGAGCTGTATTCAAGTATTGGTCTAGCAAATGTTTTGTATGCTCTAGTTAGTAGTGTGATATTACCAGAGAAAAAGCTATGTAGGATTAGGTTAACAACTCTTAATGCCTTTTTGACTATGTAGTTGCAGGGGCTCTAGCACTTAGATCATTAGAGGTGAGTATTCCAAGGTCCTTTACAGAGCTTGGATCATCAACAAGATCTTGACTATTCAGCTTGTATTTTATTTTCTGATTTTTTTTGCCAATATGTAAGACAGAGCATTTATTTATTGAGATTTGAAGTTGCCATTTGTTTGACCATTCTGATACATAGTCAAGATCTTTTTGAAGGGTAGCAGTATTGTCTGTGGTATTGACCAGCTTTATATCACCAGTGAAAAGAACGCAGTTGCTCTTAATATGATCATAGAGGTCATTTATACAGAGTATGAAGAGAGTTGGTCCTAGAACACTGCCTTGGGGGACACCACTATTGACAGGTACAGAATTTGACAGGATGCTCCCAATTTTGACCATTTGTTGTCTGTTTGACAGTTATGAAGGTATCCAGAGATACCATAAGATTTTAGTTCTAGGAGTAGTTTGTCATGAACCACTGAATCAAAGGCTTTACAGAAGTCTATGTAGATTGCATCTATTGCTTTACCCTGATCGAGTTGTGTCATC